ACAGGTGGGTTGGGCCACCATGCAGTTTTTCTGTGAGATGGTGACATGGTCAGGATTTACAAGGGCATACATTTAATATCGGACACGTAATATATGGGATTATTTTACAATGTTGACCTAAAAAGTCAAATGCAGAAGAATAGTACAAGAGATCTGACACACTGGAGAGCCAAATACTCCAGCAGACAGGCTGGCTCTCATGGCAGTGTACTGTATGAGTCTGGCTGAAGACCCAGAGCCCATGGCACTGCCCCCTATGAGTCCAGCTTGAGGCCTAGAACCTATAAAGTCTCATGCAAGTCTGTATCAAGTCCAAAGGTCAGTGGTGGAAGCTAGAAAGTCTGCACCAGCAGGAGGAAGGATCTGTGTCAGCAGGCTGAGGGATCTGTCTTAGAGCCAGGAAGCAAAGCTCAACGTAAGGAACTGAGCTCTCCCAAAGAGAACCTCAGCCATGCTCAGTGACAGTGAGGACCTGAGCTTCTCAAACTGAGAACTGCTGAGTTCATCATCAGGAAAGCCAGTACAATCAACTTCTCCAGGAAAATCAACAGCACACATCTTCCCCTTCAGTTCTTTTATTATGCTGTTGGCAACAATCCCCAGGTGGGCCTTCCACACCCAGCACCATGCTGACTCAGTTCAGCTGGGTGTGACAAGCTGACCATTAATTAATCCACCACAGTTAGAATGGAAACTGGGATGTGCTTTGAAATTCTATTGTAGTTTTCTTCTTTCTCTTCTTCCTCTTCTTCTTTTTTATCCTTGAAATAAAATGGATTTGGGGGAAAAAACAGAATAGAAACTGAGGCCACCATACCATATACTTAGTCACAAAATGTCAAACGAGTCCCATTTTGTGTATCAGACTGAGCAAAGTATTGAGAGCAACTGTTGATCAGAATGGGAAAGATACTCATATCCTGTTGGTGACTATCTGAGAACATTTTTGGAGGAGGGAACATTGGCAGAATGTTTCATAATTTCTCTGTCTAGTGGTGTATATGTGTATTTATATATGTGCCTACCTGGGCACAAGGATGTTCTCTCTTTCCATATACTTCATATAAAAAAGCTATAAATAATTTAATGTCCACTTTAAAACCCTAATAAATTATGGCAAAACAATATGCAAGAACAATTATGTCATACATACAAGTTCTGTGTGGCTATTAAAGAACGAGGTATATCAAAATGTATCAATAACTACAGTGTAAAGATACATTAGTGAAGATACAGTGATTTAACTGTAAGGCTTGGCACACGTTCAGAGCTCGTGTGTGTTCATGCAGGCTGTTTGAAGGGCTCTGTAAGGTCCCTCTTAAGTTTGAAGGGCTTGGACAAGTCTCTCATGTAAGCTCTTACATGCTTCAGTTTGTACCCTCTGTGCTTTCCTTTTTCCTACATGGTTTTTGCACTGAAAACTCTGCAATCTAAGATGTGGAGCTATAATGTAAGGAGGCTGATGGATGTGGTGGGCACGAACGCTGGCAGGAAATGGTACACAGAGGTGGACTTTCCTGCTGGTAGAGCTGTGCGCTTTCTATCGAGTGGCGTCCTGTGGTGTGCCTTGGATTTCGTAGTTGTTTTCCAGGTTTCGTTGTGTGAGTCCATAGATCTTAAGTCTGTAAGTTTGTAGCTTTCATCAAATTGAGATAAATTTTGGTCATGATTTCTTCATATATATTTGTCTTTTTCCTAATCATCCAACTTCTCCTTTGGGGATTGCAGTTTCACATATATTTTTAAATATTGTTCCGTATTTCATTTATCTTTTAATTTTTTTTCTTTTTGCTTTCTGTTGTATTTGGATTGTTTCAATTGCCAGGACTTCATTACTAATATTCTGGTTGATACCTCTGTATCTATATCGTTTCCATCTTTTTAATCGCGGTCATTGATGGTTTCATCAGTGGGTCCCGGAGCTGCTGTGTTCTGTGCCTGACCTCCATACTTTAACGTGGGCAGCTTTTCTCCCGGGGTCTGGAATATAAGCAATTCCCTCCTAACAGCAGTTTTGATGCCTTCATCTACTTACTGTCTTGTGTGTCATTTCTCAGTCCATCTTGGTTATTTTCTTCTCATTGTAAATTGTACTTTCAAGCTACTCGTTTATTTATGTATTTATTTATTTATTTATTGGTGCCAGAGATCGAACTCATGACCTCGTGTTTGCCAAGCAGGCACTTGCCGGCTGCCCAAGCTGTTTATTTTAAATGTGGTCCTGGGAATGGGACTCAGGGTCTCACATGTGCTAATCAAGAGCTCTCCTCCCGAGCTGATTCTTTCTGATGGGGTGTCAGACTTTGTGAATTTTATCTTACTAGGTGCTACATATTTGGGGAGTGTGAGATGTTTATATTCCTCAGCTATCAGCTCATGTACCCTTTCCCTCCTGGTGCTGTGCCCTTCCGGCCTCTGCACCCATGGGCTCTTCCTGAGCGCACGTCTGAACCGCGTTCGTTAGGCACTGGCTGCTGTCCTTCAGTAGAGCCTGGGGATGTCTGCACAGCATGTTCGTGGATACACATGCAGTTGGCCTCCCTCAGTGCATAGGTGTAAGCTAACGAAAGCTGAGCACTTATGTTTAGTTCACTGCTAAATCTGGACCCTAGAACAACTCCCACGTATCTTCGAGGCCCTCAGTAAATTGAATATCTGTTTAATAAGTGAACAAGTGAGTTCTAGATACCATGCTGGCCTCATTCCATTGTCCTGTGATGTCACTGGCTCATAAGCTAGAGAACACTGGGGATTTATCAGGAGAGAAAGGTGGAAAAGGGTTTTTTACATGTCAGAGATAATAGAAGTCAGAAAATTAGAATGATTAAAAAAAAAAAGTCTGGAGCCAGACAGATGTGATAGCACACACCTGTAATCCCAGCACTTGGGGAGCCGAGGCAGGAGTATCATTGTGCGTTCAAGACCAACCTGGGCTACAAAATGAGCTTAAGGCCAGCCTGAACTACATAGTGAGAATCTGTCTCAAAAGATTAAAAAAGAAAAAAAAAAAAAGGGTCTGAGATGATAACTCAAAAGTATAGGATTTATTAAATTGACCTCATTTCTTGCTTCACTTTGCCGTGGAAATCCTTGGTATTTTCTCAAGGTATTAAAGTCTTAATAGCACTGGGTACGCTGTGTCTTTTCAATGGTAACATCATGAAGTGTTAAAGTGTATAATAAACTTTCCTTTGTGTCTGTGCACATCTCATCCCTCTGCCTCCACCATGTGAAAAGTAACCATGGGGTTCATAACGAAACCAGGGGAGGAATGACATCCCAAACACACTGTACCTAACTTGTCCCTTCCGTGACCAGCAAGAAGGGGCGGATTCCGGGATTCTCTAGGTTGAGCCTTCCTGAGTCTTCAAAGTGATCAAGTGCTAGGAATTGTGATGGAGCCTTAAATAAGAAGACCCAGAACATAACTTCATGTGTTTCACACAACTCGGCAGATAGAAACAGCTGCTTTTATGCTCCCTCATTGTTCTGATTGAAACCAGGTAGCGGACACTAACCCGAGGATTCCTGGCTGTTAGCGAGGCATCAAGGTGAAGCTGTGTTGCTCTTGTTTGTGTTTCTCGGGGAGTTTTCCTGATTTTATTCCTGGCAGGATCTTTGAAGAAGAGTTTTCTTTGGTGAATTAGTAAGCAGAATTTTTTCTGAAAAAATCTTAAGTTTGAAGCATATGCATGTATGTTTTAGGAAAAAACCCTTTTCATTAATTCACCAAAGAAAAATATTTCTTTAAGGGAGTTTTATTGAAAAAAACGAAATACTGATTAAATTGGTAAAATTTCTCTACTTATTTAAAACCAGGTTACTTAAACTGAGACATGCGCTGAAAGGTTTTGCTTCTGATTCAGAAAAGCACAAAAATGGAAACATTTTTAAAATGTAGATTTTATTTTAATAACATAATTTCTAAAAGAGTAATGTTTACATAGAAGGCAGAAATGTATTTCTGGGAGTCTATTTTCATAGTGAAAGTATGTGATTTTGTATTTGTGTTAAATTTGCTTAGTTCTTATTTGTAGGCTTAAAGTAAGTGTGTTTTTTTGCTTTTTGTTGTCATGTGACTTTACAGTTAAGTTTGTTTTTTTCTAGAAGAGCAATTCAAATATGAAATTGGTTTTATCAAACAATTTAATAATATTCTTTCATCGTGGTGTTTACAGACTCTCACTTAGCAAAACAAGGGTTGGATGTAAACTCCCTAACGGAGAGTCTGCTCCGTCGGGTTCCTGCCAAGCACCCCGCCCTGCCCGTCCTGAACATTGTATTTTCATGAGCATTGCACAGTATTTCTCATCCCTTGTTCCCAGTCTTGACCCACTGACCCAAGAATCAAGGAAATGTCATGTCAGTGCCTACTAATTAGTGCAGCCAGAGTGGCTTTTCATCGGCCTTTCAACCTTCTGGAGGCCAGTGCAAGCTGTCACTCGCATCATGCAGGGAAAATGAGGCTTTACTACATTTTCCCTGTTTTGCAAACAGAAGAATAAGCTCAGCTGAGGCTACAGATGAATATGCAGGTTAGGGAGAAATTAACCTAAAGTGCACTGCTCTTCGCATGATCGTCTCACTGATGATGACACAGTACTGACTGCATTAAATAAAACACGCACAATGGGTGCCCCAGCTGGAGATCTGACCAGAGTCCTAGCAGTGGTGTTGCACTTTAGTGGCACTGTCATCATACTGATTTGATAAAAGTAATTTTAGGGAAAGAATGGGTAAAACAATAAGTAGCATTTTAGTGCATCTAAGTGTTCCTTGATTTTAAACACACTTAGGAAAATCTTGCGCTGTGTTAGTGAGTATTTGGTTCGAGTGCTCATTAATCAGTGCTATTGGGTCAGGGTCTCCTGGGCCTTCTGGGTTTGGGGAAATTCACTACTGTAATTAAAGGGATGAAATATATCATGGTCACAAACTTACCACACCCGACGGTCGAGGGCTTGAGCTAGTAGAATTAATCTCTTTAATTTTTTCCGTAGGTATTTAAGATAGAAGTGCTAATGAATGGAAGAAAACATTTCGTTGAAAAAAGGTACAGCGAGTTCCATGCCTTGCACAAAAAGGTAACTTGTTTTTTCTTCTTTTTCTCCTTTTTGTATATGGCAGGTGACATAATATTAAGACCCCTTCTGTGGTTCTAGTGTTTTCCCTGTGTATATAGTTTCTCTTATCACAAAACAGATTTCCTTTAAAAACAGATGTTCAGTCACTTAAAGGAGTGCTTTCTGTAAGGTGGGTTTTCTGTTGTGCCTGCTTTGTACTCAGATCTGAGGCTGCAGGCGATTACAGTGTATTGTGTTGGATGTTACACATTCAGAAGGAGTAAAATCCAGACCTGTTTTACCCATGAAATATACTTACATGCTTTACAGGAAAAAATGCATATGATCCTTTTACAGGAGGAAAGTGTATTAAACTCAGCTTACACTCTCATGGGAAAGAGGCTTCTAGCTTTCTTTTGATGGTTCAGTTCTAAGATACATTTCAGTAAAGTACTAGATAAAAGAAGCAGAAACACAAAACTAATAACTAATAAATGAGTAATTTTATTGTCTACCCAGATTTTTTTTACAGTTTATAAATTATTAGGGAGGTGAAAATTGTCTTGATCACTGAAAATACCTCATGAAATTGCTCAGAAAATCACTAGGTATTAGTCAATGTAATTTTACTGTTTTTTCTTTCATACATTTGAAGTATGCATGAATATATTACACTTCTGTGTATACTCCCGTACACATGAAAGATACATATGGAATGAATAGACACAATACACAGCATAACTCAGTTCCCTCATCTCCTGTGTTGGGTAAGAAATCAAATGGTTCAATACTAAGTATGGACATGCAGTATATTAAGAAAATCTTTTCACGTAATTTCATTAATGACCTCTTAAATTTTCTGAGAAATATTAGTGTGTAAATAACCTGATCGTGTACTGGCTCTGTAGTGTAAATTTAGTGTTTTTAGAATTAAGTTTTCTTCCTTATATAATCAGGAGAATAGAGGATTGGGCATGAACTTTACCAGGATTATTACAGACCACAGTGAGCCTGTTTCCCCTACATTCCTCTGTTAGGAAGGCAAGAGAGAATTCATACTTAACTCTCCTATGTGATTCTTTCCAAGCGAGGTTTACTACAGAGGAACCAATAAAAGTGAATACAGATTTGCACAAATGTTGCTTGCAGACTTTATAAAAGTACTGACCTCAGGGGACTCAGAAAGAAACAAACCGGGTCTTCCTTCTCGCAGATTTTTCTTTCTGTTTGTTTGGGAGAAAGGGGTTCAGAGAGCTTTCTGCTGGGAACCTGTGAGCCACATCCCTACAGTAAGACCGGACAGCCTGTTGTGTGCAGGGCCCTTCCTACCCCCAAGCTGGGCTCCCAGCACTCCACAAGCTGACCCAGCCAGCTGCAATCCTTAAGTGACACTGCACACACAAGGCACAGCAGGCAACGGCCAGTTGTCCAGAGCTTCCCAGGGCTTGGGTCTTCCCACACCCTCTTCTCTCCAGAATGAGTCCTTTCATTCTGCAGCAGAGGGGCCTCTGCCAGTTCTTAGCAATCACAGTCAAAAATTCCTGGGTTTTGTAAGACTTGTTCTCCTCTTAATTTCTACAGCTCTGTTAATGAATTGAGCAGTCTTATAATCAGATAATGTGGTCTTTCAGAGTTCATAGAGTAAAACTCCTCACATTTATCAGTTTTGCACAGTGCAGCAGTTTTGCTAGACTATTGGAGACATCCTTAAAGGAACCTAGAGATACTCTGCTCTGCCGAGTGGCTGGGGTACACTGTCAGGTCTTCTGCCTTGCAGAGGGGATCGCCCCTGCTAGAAGTCTCTTTTCCTGCCCATTACGATTGCACTGGAGCTGGCAAAACGTAACTGGAAAAGGCAGCTCGGTGTAAGTATAGTGAGCCATAAAAGCAAACCTTACTTTGTAATCTCGACTGTAAATCACGTGTGTGGAAGGATTAAGATGGGTAGAAACTCGCTCTGGGCACAGATATCGCCTATTGCTGCTGTCCTGCTGGGAGCCTTTTCCTTTTACTGCAGTTTTGTTATCCTCAATTTCTACATGTGAATTGTGTGGTGGGCTCTGCATGTTTTGTGTTTATATAAAACATTTTCCCTTTAAATGGAGGTACATCTATTGTAGTAATCAGCTGTTTCTGCAGTGTACACAGTTTGCTTTGTTACATTCTACATTCTACTTCTCTTTTACTAACAGTGTTTAGCCAGTGTCCCCCCAAAATATGTGAACTGCCAGAAAGTGCTTTGTACCAGAATGAGGACACAAAGATGCCGATTTGCTATCATTGCTCATTTTGAGGCAAAACTAAAAGTATCTCCTGTTTGACAGCATAAAGAAAGTCCATATTAATTATATGGACTAAACTTTTGTGATTAACAATGTTACGATATAGTCTACACTTTTTAAAGGATTTCTTTCTGTTGTGGAGACATTTAAAAACTTTCTATAACATTATTTTCTTGTCCTCGGGTTGCTTCAAGATTACATAGCTAAATCTTTGCCAAACACAGTGGCACATGGCTAATCCCAGTGTCCTGGGAGGCTGAGGCAGGAGGATCTCAAGTTCAGACTCAGCCTGGACAACTTAATGAGACCCTGTCTCAAAATTTAGAAAGAGCGTGGATGTAGTTGGCCGTGTGCTCAACCCCTAGTTGGGAGTCGAGGGGAATGCTAAAATCATATAGGAGGCTGAGGGCAGGGGAAATAACCCATTGCTGCCTGTTCATCCTAACGCTGTTTTTTCCATCTTAATCCAGTTGCTGTTTTCCTTTCAGTTATTTTATTGGGTTTTGAGAAAATAAAACCTGCCGTGCTCACCTTGTGCCCCGTGGTAGTCTGTAACGTACAGAAGGTTTGCACAGGCTGCCGAAGCAGAACACCCCCAAGTCTGTTTGTCTGCTCCTGGCTCTGAGTTCTCTGAGTGATTCCTCCTCTGTGACATGAGAGTAGAGCGCTAACTTATTAGTATTGTTTTATGAATGAAATAGACTGTGTGCGTCACACAGTGAGCTCTCTGCAGTCAGCAGCATCTATATGTCTACATTTGTCTGTAGTTCTCTGTATTCAAGACTGTGTCCTTAACTAGATTAGCACTCTCCTGTCAAAGCACTTGGGCCTTTTTATATTTCCTGATAGATGTTACAAACTTACTTTTTCTTTTTTGATTCAATTTAATTGTTAAAAAAAACTTTTGAGACAGGGTCTTGCTGTGTGGTTCAGTTGCCTTGAACTTACTGTGTAGTCCAGACTAGCCTCAAACTTAGAGCTGTCCTCCTGCCTCAGCCTTCTGAGAACAGTTCTGGGATTATAGATATGTTCCACCATTTCTGGCTTCAAATTACTTTCCAAAACAGTTGTAGCAGATTTATAGTGCAGCCAACAAGTACGAAAGCATAAGGTTCATAGCATCTCATCAATTTTGAAAATTACCCCTCTAGAAATTATGTTTATTTAGCAAGCATTTATGTTGCCTTTTATTATTTTGATTGGTACTTAAGTTTGTTTAATGTTTGTAGTCCTTATTTGAATTGTCAATTTTTATGTGTTTTCTCATTTGTCTACTGGGATCTGGCTTTTGCTTATTAGCCTGTGAATAAAATATGAGTCATTTGCTGAAAGTATTTTTCACCAAAGATCTTTTAGGTTTTGAGTTTAGCAGTTATTTTACTTCACAAGAATTCTACATTTGTCACGTGGCCAGGTTTTTTGAAGTTTTTAAAATTTCTTTTAGAACTCTAGTGAGCATTGTGTTTCTTTTCTTTCCTGATTTTCTAGATCAGTATCTTTCAGAGTATGACGTTAGATTCCGCTGAGTGCAGGTTTAGGGGGAGCAGCTGCAGTCTGCAGCAGGCCAGCCCCACAGTGCGCCCCATTGCTGGGGTTGGAGGATTTCCTTTCCACTGCGGGTGCTTCAGGGCTGCCCTCTCCAGCCTGCAAGCCACACTTGGGCCTAGTGCAGAACCAGAACGGTGCAACTTAGTTTAGAACCAATTCGAAGCCGGTGCTGGCCTCCCTTTACCCACTGTCCATCGATCACTGAGCACTGTCCCCCGGTCCTCCAGTTTCCTTAAGACTCCATACTAGTGTTGCTTTAACCATTCCTGACCCTTGTCCCTTGTGTTCTCATTTCCGTCTGCATCCGCCTCACCTCACAGACCTTGATCCTCGAGCACAGTCCTGTGTCCTTAACCCCCGTGTACTCCCTGGTGCTGCTGTAACCAGTCACCACACACCTAGCGGCTCGAGACAACACGCACTCCTGTCTCACCTCTAGCTGTGTCAGGCTGCATGACTCGCTTGGTGTGTGGGGTTGGGAGAGTTGGTTTCCTCCCCTTTCCCAGGGTGCAGGGCCCTCGGGTCCCTCCAGCGTCTTTTACCTTGGTGCTTGTACTCCCCTTCCTGGTAGCACTGGACTTACCCACAATCTGGAAGGCTTAGCCTTTCAAGATCCTTAATGTAATCACATCTGCAAGGCCCCTCTTCCCGTATAGGGGAAACGTTTATAGATTTAGAAGCTAGAAATTCTTCGGTATCTTTGAGGGTACCCCTTCTCTGCCCCTGACCCTTTACTGGCTGACCATATTTCTAACAGCTCTAGAAAATGTCAGTCAGGCTAGTCTACCTTGTTTTGCAGGCAAGAATATGCCACGGAAATCACAACATCCCTGTCTTTCCTTTGTGTCCCCATCTGTTCAAACTAAACCCAGATGTTCAATTGTCTCCTTTGTTTGTTCTTGAAACTGCTGTTCCACGTTTATTAACAGAGATGTCTACTTAAACATCAGAAGATGTAAGATGCGATTAAAACATAGTTATCAGCCTTCCCTGGAGCCAGGCTTCGCCATGAGGAGAAGACAAACTGCCTCTCTGTGAGCCAACTGGTGTGTAGGCTGGGAAACCGGAAGAGCACCCCCGAGCCCCCACCTCCCATAAGCAACTGGCTGATTTAAACGACTCAGGATGAGATGATAGCAACTGAGGTGAAAGGAATAGCTTGATGTTGTATTGTTTGATTGACTCTGCAGG